GCTACCCATCTACCCTGATCTCTGTACTGCTTCTTAAAACCGAAGTGAATCTATCCTCCAGTTCTCTTATGAAGGCAAACCAGCCCTTAGATGCTGACAAGTTATCATCTTAAGCACTCTCTTTCTGGTATCCAGTAGGTCTTATATACGGATTTATTGTGCATAACTCATGTGCAAAAGATTTCGGATAATCTGTGGACAACAGAAAGAGATCTAAAATGTGATTTTTGTCTTCAAAGAGATTATGTCTCCATGAAGAAACAAACTCCAAACACATAAGATAAAAAGTAAGAAGTCAAAGTTCATAATTGGATACCAACATAGTGCCCAATAATGTTGCAGATGTCCAGAAGCGAGGAGAAAGAATCACCCCTGGTTAGGGGTGGCAGGCGTTCAGGGAGAGCTTCCTGGAGAAGGTGAAACTCTGACTCTGTGTGTGCATGTGTATGTGAGTGAGTGTGTGTGTGTGAGTGAGAGTGTGTGTGTGTGTGAGAGTGTGTGTGTAGGTGGGTGTGTATGTGAGTGTGTGAGTGAGTGTGTGTGTGTGAGTGTGTATGTGTGTGTGAGTGGGCAGGTGTGAGTGTGTGTGTGTGAGTCACTCAGTTGTGTCCAACTCTGCAACCCCATGGACTGCAGCCCACCAGGCTCCTCTGTCCAAGAGATTCTCCAGGCAAGAATACTGGAGCGGGTTAAGCGAAAGGTTGGGCATTCCAGGCAAGGACAGACACATTATGAGCAAAGACTTAGAGTAGGAATGGGGATTAGAGCAGACCAGCTTCAGCAAAGGATTTGCTTTACATGGGGATGGACACGGTTGGACAAGAGAGTCCTAGGATTTCCTACAAAGGTGTAGCGCCCCAGGTCCCTTCTGCCTCCAGGATCCTCCCGTTCTGGGGCTCTCTGATGACAATGGTGGGTTGTCCTTGGAGGTCCCTGACTGCCAGAAAGGCTAATCTGACAGTGCAGGACAAGATGCAGCGCAGGGGGAGAGCGGCCGTAGGGAGGGAGGCGTGGGGGTCCTTCACCCCAGTCTCCCCGTGAACCGATAATAAACAGTAGCAAAGGCAATGGAGGGAGGCTGCGGACTGCCAGTCTCAGCCGGGAGCTCGGGACCCTCCGGAGGAACTTGGAGGCAGACGCAGAGCGATCAGGAGCAGACTCGGGGGCCAGGCTGCCTCTGCTTCTATCCTGGACCCGCCTCCTACTCTAAGCGCTGGGATCCTGGGCCATGGCTTTCACATCTGTGAAATGGAAACGCAATAAAGTTAACTTCTCCACAGAATGCCCCAGGACCGAGGTAATGCACTTCAAGTGCTTAATGCACTGTTTTCAGTAGTGTCCACAGTAAGGACTCAGACGTGTGGGCTGTGAGTGAAGCCCCCTTACTCTGCGGGGCAGGGCTCTTGGTGGGGTGGGGACACGGTGTGATAGGCGCCTGCCAACCTCACTGTCACAGCCCACCTCTCCCTGCAAATCAGGGGAGACTGAAGAGAGCCTGTCCTCCTATAATGGCCCATCAGGCTGCTTGTGTATTTTGGAGATTAATCCTTTATCTGTTGTTTCACTTCTTATCTTTTCCCATTCTGAGGGTTGTCTTTTCATGTTTCCAGTTTCCTTTGCTGTGCAAAGCTTTGAATTAGGTCCCACTTGTTTATTTTTATTTTAGTTTCCACTCCTCTAGAGGGTGGGTCATAGAGGATCTTGCTGTGATTTATGTCATCGAGTATTCTGCCTATGTTTTCCTCTAAAAGTTTTATATTTTCTGGTCTTACATTTATGTCTCTAATCCATTTTGAGTTTATCTGTGTGTATGGTGTTAGGAAATGTTCTAATTTCATTCTTTTACACATAGCTGTCCAGTTTTCCCGGCACTACTTATTGAAGAGACTATCTTTTCTGCATTATATATTCTTGCCTCCTTTGTCAAAGACAAGGTGCCCGTGAGTGCATGGGTTTATCTCTGGGCTTTCTGTCTTATTCCATTGGTCTATATTTCTGTTTTTGTGCCAGTATCATGTTGTCTTGATGACTGTAACTTTGTAGTATAGTCTTAACCCTCTTGCACTGTTGGTGGGGGGTGTAAATTGATACAGCCACTATGGAGAACAATATGGAGATTCCTTAAGAAATGAGGAGTAAAACTACTATATGATCCAACAATCCCACTAATGGGCACATACCCTGATAAAACCATAACTGAAAAAGACACATGTACCCCAGTGTTCATCGCAGCACTATTTGCAACAGCCAGGACATGGATGCAACCTAGATGTCCATCGACAGATGACTGGATAAAGAAGCTGTGGTACATATACACTACAGAATATTACTCAGCCATAAACAGGACACATTTGAGTCAGTTCTAATGAGGTTGATGAACCTAGAGCCTATTATATAGAGTGAAGTAAGTCAGAAAGAGAAAAAATATCATATACTAACACATGTATATGGAATCTAGAAAGATGGTACTGATGTATGTATTTGCAGGGCAGCAATGGAAATGTCAACATAGACAGCAGACTTGAGGACACAGTGGGGGAAGGGGAGGATGGCATGAATTGAGAGTAGCACAGAAACACATGCGTCACTGTGTGTAAAACAGACAGTGAGAATCTGCTGTATGGTGTAGGGTGCTCTGTGACAACTTAGGAGTGGGATGAGGCGGGAGGTGGGACGGAGGTTCAAGGAGGGGATTTGTATGCCTACGGATGAATTTAAAGAAAAAGGCCAGTCAGGGATCTGCTTTTACTGTGAGGGACATCTGAGAGAGAGAGAATGCGCTGGAGGGAATGGGCTCACATCACAGGGAGAGAGTGTTGTTCAGCGGAAGGAACAACTTGCCAAACAGAGACCAAATTTAATAAAAGATGAGACAAACCAAGATGAAGGGGGCATGGTGGGACATCCATTCCTGCCCCTTAAACCAAGGAGAGGTGAATTCCCACAGCTTAAAGGAGACTCTGTATCAGCGAGGGTTTGAAGACAGGCATAGAAAGATAATCAAGGTAGAAGCAAAGGAAAAAAAGAACAAGCAGGAGCATAAAATGGAACCAAGAACAAGGCTAAGAGAGATGGAAACCCTAATGGCCTACATATACTTTTACAGTCCTTGCAGGAGACGCTCCAAGCTGAGCCTACTTTCCAGCAGCCCCCCACCCCCCCCACACACAGATCCACAATTCCATACTCATAAAATGGAAACGGAAAACTGTTCCAGCGAACTCTGAGTCTTCCTGATGCTGACAAGTGTGGCTGTTCCACGGGGATCCTCTCAATGTGCAAAGCGATGAGGTGACCGCTGAGGGTGAGGCTGGAGGCCTGGCAGGGGCTGGAGAGTGAAGGGCATGAGAAGGAGCACCGAGGCCTTGCCCTGAGGACAGTGGGAGCCACTGAAGGTTTGATCTTTTTTTTTTTGCTTCCACAGTTTTCAAATTCAATTTAATTTAAATGGTCTCCAACAGTAATAAGTCACAAGCAAATAAAGTGGAAGTGTGATAAAACCCACACATACCCTTCACTCTGCTTCAACAGTTGCCAACATTTTGCCTGTCACCAGAGGGTTCTGAGCAGAGGAAGGACATGGTGACCCCAGTGTTGGAGGAAGACGCCTCTAAATGTGAGGGAAAGAGAAGAGCGGGGCAGGGCTGGGCTACCATGAGGTGGTGGCAAACTAGTCACTCACTGATTCATTCATTCCTTCAGCTAACATTTCCTGAGTTCCACCACACGCCTGGCACTGTTCTTGGTGCTGTGGATTTGAAGGTAAATAAAGCAGATGGGGTTCCTGTCCTGCTAGAGCTTGTGCCCCTGGCAGACAAACAATCAAATGGACTGAAGGAGAGGATTTAAGAGTGTGATAATGAGACTGACATGTGACAGAGAAGGACTTGGGAGGGAAGGGCCTAATTTCGAGAATGGGTGGCCAGGGATGCCCATGTGCACCTGGGACATCAAGAAAGTCAGGGTGGCTGGAGAAGTGTGAGTGAAAGGGTGGTAGAGACAAGATCAGAGGGCAAGGTGAGAAGAGATGTCGGCTTGGGCTAAGTTGCCGGCCACAGAGATGGAAATAGGCAGTTTCGAGGGAGATTTAGGAAGAGCCCACAGGCAAGGTGATAGATCGAATGTGGGGGTGGGGTGGAGAGTGGGAGAACGTCAAGATGACATGCTGGCTTGAGTTGAAGGAAGAGTTCTGGCTCGAACACCTGGGTGGACAAGGGTGCCCATTACGGGATCGTGGAGGAGTGATGGAAAAAGTCCAGGTGGCCCCTTCACAGCCTTGATTTCAAAATGAGGGTCTGGTAAAGTGAAGCCCCTTCCACCACTAGACCCAGTCAAGAAATCAACTATCCATGTAGCTTTTGGATGAGACAGTTCCTCAGGCAATTCTGAGTGATCATACCCTCCACTCTTAACCCTCCAAAGTAGCACCAACTCGCCTTCACCCCCAACCACTGACAAGTACAGAAGGACACTTCTGAGTCCAGCTTAACTTGCCTGGCCCGTAGAGAAGACTAAGGAGATGCCACAGTGATGTAACAGCCTGCGGGGAGGGGAGCGCTGAGACCACCCAGACACCTGCGGTATCTGGTATCCGTGGAGCTGTTTTTATCGCAATAGCAGGGGTCCTCTGAAGCCATGTCATTGTCTCATGCCACCTTGAGGCTTCACTCATCTCAGCGTCCCTTGTCTCAGGCAGATATGAGGGCTGAGATTTAAAAGGAGCAGGATTTTGCTGGGAGGCAGTATACACGCCTGGCTAGAGGGAAGTCTGGAATTAGAACACAGTTATACCCTTATCTGATGACTTGTGCATGATGAACAGATTTGTTAGAAAGGACATAAAAGGTGGCCTCTGAAGACAGCTGGGCAGGGGAGGAGAAGACCCGAAAAAGCAATCCAGACAGGAGACCACAGTGGTTAAGGCACGTGTCTGTTCTCGGCAATGACCCCACTCTCCCGTGCGGATTTCTGGCTATTCTCTGTCCTTGCAGCGCCTTGTCCTAGAAGGGCCTTTCTTTCCAGCTGTCTATCAGGGGAGGGGGGTCGGCAGGGACGGCGGTGGGGTCATCGTCTGGGAATGAATCCTGGACAGCAGGAGGCTGCTGCCCTGACTCCTCGTAGCCCTCATCCGTCACCCAGCGAGTGCGGCGGGCAGCCAGGCTGCGGGCTGCCTAATGAAGACGGAGAGGCGGCTCCGGCTGTGCGCAGGGCCGCCTTCCCATCAGCAGAGGTGACATTCCCAAACAGCACTCATTACAGAGCAGACGCTGGACGGGGCTGGGACACATATTGATGGCAGCAGAGCCAGCCAGCGTCTGTCTCAAATCCCACTGCCCCTGAGAGAGCGAGCCAGCAAAAAGCGTCAAACCCGCAGCCTCCTCACTTTACCGAGAAAAAAAATTCATTCTTCCCATGGCTGACATTTCAGGCGAAGTCACTCTCTCCACTGCTTGCAGATCCAAGGGGCCTTAGCTTCAGGCCCGTCCAAACGTTGGAAGACACCTTCCTTCCCTGGACTGGCTGTGCTGTGGATGACCGAGTGGGTGGGGGGGGGGGGGTGGTCCTCAAAATGACACCTGGATCTGGAGCCCAGAGGTCTTGCTTTAGAGCTCGGATGGGTCCAAGATGCAGCTAGGAGGGATGATGGTTGCTGAGCTGGGGGCTGATGTTATCAGGGGCTGGGGCAGGAGGACTCTCCTTCCCAGCGGACGGTGCGCACAGGACAGACCTCCATCCTGGCTGTGGGGGATGCGCGGTCTCCCCTCCCCTTCCCTCTGGGAAGGCAGGCGTGGCCGGTTTGGGTGTCCGCGCCTCCCGAAACTCGGGGCAAGGTGGCCGGAGGATGAGGCTGCGGCCACACGCGCCGGGCCCAGGCACACACAAGCCCCCCGGAGCCCCCGCGCCGGAGCCGCTCAGCGCCAGCCCCGCCGCGCCCGCCGCCCGCGCTCCCCTGCAGGGCGCCCCGCCCCCGCCCTGCTCGATTTTAAACCGCAGCAGACGGAGCTCGACTTAAAAATAACTATTTTGACAGTTCGGATGTAAATATGTGAGCTGCGCGTGGGGCTGTTTTCCCTGCGCACTCCCCCTCACCCCTCGCTCCCTACCCCAGCCCCAACTCCACCGGCGCGCCAGCGACCGGAGAGCGCCGCCTTCAGGACGCTCCCCGAAGTGCGGCGGGGGGAACGCCGGTCCTCGGTCTCCAGCCTGGGGGAGGGCAAGGGAAGGGGAAGGGGGAGGGCGAGGGGTGGGGGGGAGGGCGAGGGGTGGGGGAGGGCGAGGGGAGGGGGGGCGGAGAATAAGAAGTTAGAGGAACCCCGGCTGACTCTTCAGCACACCACCCCACTGTGCTAAAGGCAGTACATGTGGGAGATAAGGGCAAAATCTCCTGCCATTCTTAGCTAACCCTCTCAGTTAACTCATTGGACTCATGCTTTATGTCAGGCACTGAGCTAAGTAAGCATTTTAGCACATGCTATCTTTTGTTTGATCCTGCAAAAACATGCGGTGGGCATTACTATCCGCATTTTACATACGGAAAACAGAGGGTGGGGTGACTGAGTTCTCTGGACTGCCACAGCTAGTGAAGAGAACTGAGATCAGAACCCAAGACTTACGTTCTTGCCCCCATAGCCCGCTGAGAGGAAGGGAAGTGGAGGCAGAGATCCACCTGTTCCATAAAGGGGGAAACTGGAATTCAGACAGATGAAGTCATGCGTCTTCCTGGCCACCAACAAGCACCTTAGCTAGGGCAGGGCGGGACAAAAACACAGCTGCTTTAGGACAGGCAACCCCTGGCTCTCTCCCCAATCTCCTGGACCCTGGCAGTGTGCTGGGACATGATGGGACATCCTTTGAAAGGAAGCTGGGGGGAAAGAACTTGGAGAGAGAACACAAGAGGGAGGGGAAAGGAGAGAGGAGGTCTAGAGGGTGAAGGAGCTTAAGTGTGCATGGACTGCACAGTTTGGTGAAGAGCCGTGCTGCGGGGGAAGCTCACTGTCAGACCTCCCAGCCACCCTTTGCTTCATCCCTCTTCCCCGCCAGGTGCCCGCATGACCACCAAGCCATGCCACCCTGGGCCCAGATGTGCACTGACGCTCTCAAGCTTCTCTCCCATCCGAGTGTAACCTGCTCCGGGAGAGAGCCTGATGTATCTGCTGATGCTGTGGGGCAAACGCCTGATGACTGCCCAGGGTTCCCCTTCCTCCTGGAGGACAAGGCCCAGTGAGTCAAAGCTTGAAGAGGAAGCAATGTCAGACTCCTGGAAAGAAAAGGAATTTGGGAGCAACAGGGCCCACCTGCGACAGGAGAGGCTCTGTACGGCACTTGTTTGCAAGGTCACTGCATGTGTATACAACCATGGGCAAATGTCCTAGATGCTGGCAAAGAGAGAGGGGTCCTGGGATCTGTGCTTTGAGCATGCCTTCCTCTCCATCCTTCAAATCTCAGCTAGGAGTCCACCTCCACTGTGAAGCCTTGCCTGATCCCTCCCCTCTCTCTGAACAGTTGAGAGTGTTTGGAGGCCCCTCTCAGACCCCTGAAGCCTCAAAGCACTTTCCTTGTACCCTGCATCTTGCATCCTTCGTCTTTCCATTTTACTCAGTTGTGAGTTCCTCAAGGGCCCGGACAGTGTGTGATTTCCCCGTGTTTCTCCTACGGCTCTTCCCCGAGGGCCTCGCACAGTCAGGACTCAAGTCTGATGGGACAGATTAATAGACAGCAGTGTGCTGCACACATTTCCCCACATGAGGGGTGAGGACTGGGATTCTGACAGCAGAAGCTGACACTCCAGCTGACTCCTGAAGGCTGAGAGGCGTGGGACATTTATTAACCCCAGACGTTCAGCAACCATGTTGCGTGCCTGTCACTAGCTCTGCGGCGGCTGCGTCAGGAGAAGGGGCGGGCCGCTCCAGGGCATTCAGTCCTCTCTCCAAGCCGCAGCAGCCCGAGACACTTCAGCTCCACCTTGCCCCAGCCACCCCGGGCCTCACAGGAGGCTGGCTCTGTGTGAGACCTGAGGGTTCTGGCTCTCTGGCCCCCTCAGAGCCTCTTGCTTCACTGATGATTTGAAATCGCTGGCCTTCTAATCAAAGTGGAGTTATAATAATCATTTTAAAAGACAGTTTTATTGATATATAATTCACATACCGTATGATATAATCATTCTTCTTCCTAATATGGCATCTTTCTGTCCTTGTAAGTCTGAAAATTCCCATTTGTCCCATCAATAGTACACCTAAAGGTCTTTATTTCTCTTGTAAAGAATAAAAGCCCCTTCATACCTGTGTGATCATACTGTAGTCCCAAAGGATTCTTCCTACTCCCCGCTTCATCTCCTCCAGCCAGCTTTATCCCACTACTTCTCTGAGATGCTCGGAGGGAGAAGGCCTGCCTTCCTCTAATTTCTAGATCGCACAAGTGAGGTCCATGGCCCCAGGGCTCTGTGCATCTCCCAAAACCTCCTCCTGGAATCCATCACTTCACTTTATGTTCATGCTCCTCTTTTTCCCAGTCTCCCTTCTCCCCAACAGAGCTGGTGGAAATAAATGCTTAGCTTTTGCTGCTGCAGTGTATTACAGTGCGAAATAAACACGGATGCCCCACCTACTCTGAAAACATAATTCATTTACTGCAAAGGGATATAATAAAAGTCTGTTTATTACAGCAGTTAACAGAGCAGCATTAGCTGGCATGCTTTCTCAGAGGCAACCAGAAAAGTGCTTACTCCAGGTGCATAGATTGTGGAAACCATGCATCTTGAGCCGAAATGAAACCCATTAGAGGCTAGGTGAATGGGTCCCAGCCACCCTAGAAAAATTAGCCATCTAGGAGTCAGATCACCTCAGTGCAGGAGTCTGACACAATATGATTGTACTTTACTGGGTTAAGACCTGGACCTGTCTCCAGGATCATGATCTTAAGGACATACATGAAATGCTCCCTCTGAACCCAACTACCCTAGTTGAAGGGCTCAAATCTCACTGGCCTTCAAAGCGTATCAGTGGGGAAGTTTAGCACCATTGGCTCTCAGGGGTACATTGCCACTGGAGTAGGTGGGGCGTAGGGTGGGGACCAGAAGCCGGGCCAGGGAAGAGAGGCTAAAAAAGCTTTTCATTAAACCCAGCCTTCAAGAGCATCATCAAAGTTTAAGACTTCAAGCCTCTGGAGAGAGACAGCTGTTGAGGGATTAGGGGGAGGGAAGGCGACAAACCCAGACTAGAGAATATGTACTAACAGGCTTTGGGCATAAAAACTGGACAAAGGTATGACTCCCAGTTGGCCCAGTTCTTTGGTGGAGGGGCAGAGGAAAGGGAGGAACTGTTAGGTTCCCTAGTGATGTCCAGTATATCTGATTGCTAATTAACCAAACTTAGCTCTCCAGTCCCTTTCAAGGGGCCAGGGGTTGGCTTGTACCAACAGGACATTCTTCAGAACCAGCTCTGGTTTCCCCAAGAAGGGCAGCAACCCCAGTGTCATAGCTTTGTGGGAAAAACTCATTGCAAGCAGCAGCTCTTCCTTTTTTCTCTGGAGCAGCCTCTCAGGGAGACCAGGGGGAGTTTTGATCTCACTGAAAACATAAAACTGAGTGCCTAAGCCAGCTAGAAAACCAAAGGCTCGAAAGTGCAGGGGCAAACTGCTGTCAGACAGTCCCCTGGTTTAGGGGTGACCCAGCGGGTTTTTGCTTCCTTCATTCCGCTTTCCCCTGCTAGGCCTCTGGGAGAAGGTGCTGCAGTGAAGGATGAGGGCAGAAGCCAGCCTGGCCTCTCTCTGGAACAGAGAAAGTCAGAGCTTTGAGCATCATGAACAATGGGATAAAAATAGCAGCGTTGCCATGGCAACGAAGGCTGGGAGAGTCCTGAGGATCTCTGGGTCCTGCCATCTCCCCCTCCAGTCTGCCTCCCACCTCTCGCATGGAACTCAGGGATGGGCAGAGGAAGAAGGGAAGGCTGCCCAAGGGGAGGGAGACAGGAGAGTCACACGCTAGGAAACCCCTGAGCTCCAGAGCCTGAGGTTTCTGCCAGAGCCTGGACTGCCCAGCTTGGGGGCTCTTGGAATTTTTAATTTCTTCCTCAGTATAACAAGTCCAGGGTAGCCCCCACACTCCACCCTCCTGGTGGACGGTCCTGACCTTCTGGGCTCCCCTGTGAAGAACCAAGGTTACTGTTTGGTCTTCACAGTCTGTGGTTCTGATCCCAGGCAGGACTGGCCACAGCAGCCAGCCAGCACTGACCTGGGGGTGGAGGGTTAACTCCCCTGTCCCTCCATTGATCAGTGCCTTGGCCTTAGGGAGCTGTGTGTCGGGACCAGGGTGAGGGCAGGACCACTCTCTCTTGCTCTTGCTTCTGTGTCTGATGGATGCAGCATTCGCTCTTTGTGAAGATTCTGGTGCTTGGTTCTCATGGTGGTGTCAGCTTCATCACCTGCTGGATACAGCGGCCACCTTCACAGTGAACACCACGCTTTCTGGACCAGCATGCCAAGGAATCCACCAGATTCAGCAGCCTGAGATTTCCTTCTCTGGTGAAAGCCCATCTTCATGGCTGTGAACCAAGTGTCTGTCTGCAAAAGTTCAAGTCACCCCTGGGCACATCTGATACAATGTACGCCTTCCTATGAGGTAGAGAGGAAATGGGTCTTGTCACCACCTTTCTTGGAGGCGGGGAGAGAGGAAGCAGGCTGTGGAGCTCAGGAGTCAGCCGTGGCGGAGCGCGGGGAAATGAGGGCCACAGCTTTCCATCCAAGGACAGTCAAAGGCCCATCCCACATCCCAGAGCGCTGGGCAAAAAGCACGTCCAAGTCTGTAGACAGCAGATTGCAGCCTGAGGCACTTCCCCGTGCAGAAGGCAAGGTAATAATATGGGGCGGGTCAGTCAGCTTGGAGATGGGCTCACCAGCAGCTGTGCAAAGGGTTACATAAAGTGGGGCAGGGAGCAGACCCTAGAGACCCATCTGCAAGGTGTGTGTGTGTATGAGAGAGCGTGCACAAAAGTGGCACTTGGGATGGCCCCGGCAGGGCCTGGAATTGGAGTCCTGGCTACAGGAAGAAGACAGAGCTGCAGGGTGTCCTGGCTCTGAGCAGGCGGGGCGGGGCGGGCGGGATTCTAGCAGAGGCTCTGGGTGCCTTGGCTTTTCCTCAGTCCTCCCACCTTTTCTTGGATCCACCTTATCACTCCCATCTGCCCTCCCCAAATTTGCTGCATGGACAG